GGCAGGCGGTGCAGAAGGTGAGGGGCCGGGCCGGGGGCGGCCCCCGCGGCCTGTGCTGGCTGTAATTAGCACCTCCGCTAATTAAATCACCTGGGGTGGAGCCGCTGGTCGTGTGTTTCCGTCTGGCTGCCCCCTAAGCCTTGTTCTCATTGTTTGCAGCTTTATGGCCAAGGGTCTGCCCTGGACTGTAGGCGCCATGTCCAGAAGCTAAACCTGCTGCAGGGTGAGGCAGAGGAAGCACTCGGGTGGACATCTCGGTACCGTGTTTAATCTTTGTCTGCTCGTTCAGTTACCTGTGCCAGTTGATGGGCATCTCTTCACAGCTTGGGTGCCTGTTGCCTGATTTGGGCTCATGGGAAGGTTTTCTGTCCTGTTGTAAAGCCATGGCACATGCCAGTTCTATCATCATCTCATCTCGTCAGGTTTAGTGTCCTGACACATTTCTTTTGACAAGGTAAGTTTATTTGATCAATAGTGTGTGTTGCTCAGGACTTCACCCGTGGCAATACATGCAATAGAGTTTGGTTTTGGAAGGGTTTTTCTGATTGCCTTTCTCATTTAGTGCTTGACTGTGCAAATGTCCATCCAGCAGACTGACATCAGTGCAGAGGTGCATCCGCAGAGAGAAAACACCCCCCACTCTGATGCTGCCTAACTGCTGGCATTCAGGGGTTTCACACTGGGAATCTGTTAAGTAATTGCTGCTATTGATAAAAAAAGACTTGTTTAGTGCAAATATTTGGGTGTTAATTCCTGATTGGCTGGAAAATCTGAGCAGCACTTTCCTGTTTATTTCATTCTTGAATCTGTTTACAAATCGCATGATCTTGAACCGGTCTTGACCTGCTCCAGCTTCCTTTTGACTCAAGGTTATTTTCAGAAATCAGTCAAAGCTTGTTAGATAACTGAGTTGTGTAAGTGCAGTGCTTCAGGGTTGAGCTTTGGGAAGAAAACTCCTTGTTTGTTCACTTTATCAAGAAGGGTTGTTATTTCCAGTCTCGAAACATTGTGAAATTGAAAACATTGTGAAATAACTTCCCCTTTTCCATGGTAGCTTGGGATATAATTAGTGGGTTAAAGCTGTTGTCCCAAAGACACGCTGTTACTTCCCTAGTTGTGAGGAATTAGAATTTATCATTTCATGATTAGCAGCTTTAGATCAAAGTTGCTACTCTGTTTGTATAGAAACTACAAAGTTTCTATAGAAAGCTATTATCTAATTAGTATTTTCATATATTTGGGCAATATATCTTGCAAATCCTTAATTTAACATCTGCTTTTCTATAGATCCTTTATTTTTCTGACATGCTTCCTATCTGGAGTACCTATCCATGCTTCCTGTCTAATCCCTTGTGCTACAAACAGGTGATTTGAAAATTATAACTCATCAGAGAGAAGTGGGTCCTAGAAACTCTAAACCTCTGTTTTAGGTGTGTAGAAGACTCTGTAAATGACAGCAAAAACACAGCAGCCCAACATGAAGACAGTTTGGTCCAGCAGGTAAGATACCTTCAAAGCTGAGGTAAATACCAAGCCATACTGACCCAGGTGAATCACAGTGAAGTCAGTGATCCCTTTACAAGGGTTCAGACAGCTAAGATAGATAGTGTATGTAATCAGAGAGAGAACAAGATGTATACAGAAACTCTCTGTTCCACTGGGGTGCTGAACCTAGGAACACGACACAGGAACATGTCCTAAACTGACTTGTGATTTGAGGCATTCAGCACATACATAACAATGCTAAAAATGAGAAGTCTGTATTTTGCTGTTTTCAGTCATTTTCCAATCTTACAGGAGGGAAGGGCAGAAGTCAGTCGGTGGAGTAAATATTTGGACAAGGACAATGAAGATCGGGAAGATGGGGAGGAGGAGGCAGGTACAGAAAGGCAACAGTTCTGTTCCCGGAGGAAGAACACTGTGGAAGACCAAAGGTACAGAAAGACCTTTCATTTTTGGTAATTCCTGCCCCTGAGCGGTGACATTTGGTTTGGAGATGTGGGACGTAGCTCAGCTCTGATAGCTCAACAGAGTACAGGTTGCAGTGTATGACCTGAGCTGAGTAGGGATTTGGTATTTGGGGATAAAACCTCTCTTACTGACAGAGCCATGCATTTTATGAACACTTCTGGTGCCTTGTGAAAAAAAAAATCACAGTGGAGCTAACCAGTCTCTTTGTGAATGGTTTTCTTGGCTAGGAGACACCAGAAGAGCTGCTTCTCCAGTGATGCTCAGGAGTATGCTGAAGAAGATGAAGTTTCCCAGCTTGCCTACCGAGCCAAAAAGGTTAAAACTGGTTATTTTAGTTGTAGAAGATGCTTCGTACCAGTAAAACAAAACAGTGTTGTCCTGACCTCTCTTACGTCATCATAATTTTGAGGTTTTATGAGTTTTCCTCTGTTCTTCTATTTGAATGATTGGGGAGGAGAAAAAAATTGTCAGGAGTTTCTCTCTGAGAGTTTTTAGTCAGGTAAAAACAATGCCACCTTGTGTAGGCTGAGTGGTTGAGCCGGATTCCTCCCTCAGCACAGCTGCAATCTGTGCTGCTCTGCCTTACTGAGCAGTGGCACCTGTGTAGTAATGCAGTCATTGAGGTTACTGTGATTATCTGCAGCGTCAGTGAAGTTGGCCTGAGTCTCCACAGCCCAGAGTTCATAGGCCCACGCAGTGCACCCACCTCAGCTCTGCCTCAGAGGGCTGATGAGGATGTGGGTGCATTTGAAGGACTTGAGTGCTCTTTCTTTGCCTGCTTCTGTGCATTCTGGATTTATAACCCAGCTCTCTTTCTTCTTACAGCACAAGAAATGTTTAGTAGCAGTGCCTGACCAAGATGATGGAGATGCTGTTTGTGGACACAGCGTGGTTCCTGCTGTCTGTGAGTCCATAGTGCCTGCGGAGAATACACCAACCCCAACTGCTTGTACCAAACCCTCAAAGTGGGAAAAATTTCTCTCACATTCTGGTAACTATAGTGAAAATGCAGCCAGGATCACCTTATCACCACAGGAGGGCGGTGGAAGGTTGGGGCTGCACAGCACCACTCCTGCAGGTGCTGGTATGGCCAATAGATGCTCAGAACAGGCCCAAAGAACTCTACCTCAAGGTACGGGTTTTGAATTTAAGAAGTGTGTTGCTAGCAATGAGCAGCTTAGCTCAAAACTGCCTGGCACGATGGTGCCCAGCACCAGTTGCTCAGCTGGGGAGGATGTGTTGTTCAAAGAACCTCAAAGCCAAATGATAAGGGCAGGATCTGGTGTCATAGGCACCACTGCAGGAAGATGCTGTTCAGATAGCACAAGGAGGGCAAGCACCTTTGTTAACTGTAACACTAGACCAAAGCCTAGCACAGGTTCTCGTGAACGCCTCTTCTGCACAGATGATGAGTTTGATGATGATCTCTGATAAGCTCAGGCATGTTTGGCATTGCTTTCTTGTCTCTGTAATGTTGTTGGTATGCCAAGTACTGAGGCAAGGTTTATTGTAAGCCTTACAGAACTGCACTATTAAAGCTGTTTACTTGCTGCATGGCTGTGTCTGGTGGAAGGACATGAAGGGGAAAGAAACTGTTGCAAGGGGCAAAGGATTAAGGATATGGAGTGTTATCTATCAGCCTCATCAGCTAGAAATTAGGAGGGAAGTAGGTCAGCTTGGGGGAAGAAATTGCCCAGGCTCCAAGGATTCTTGGCCAGTACAATTAAATTCTGTAATTAACTCTCCATTACAAACTACAGCTCTTCTCCCGTGTACTACCTCGTTGTTGAGATCTCCCTTAGCAACCCTTTCTTCCAGAGCAGGCTTCAGAGCCAGCAAAGCATTCGATTTCTCTTCAGAAGTGTAACCCTAAGGGTACCCAGAGGTATGTGCAGAAAGGCAGGCAGTCCACAGCCCTGGGCTGCCTCCCTTGCATAAGGAGCTGCCTGCTGAAATCACATGCCCTTAGCCTAGTCCCGCCACTCTTAATGTGGATAGTTAACTACTCACACAGACTCATTACAGGAAGTAGTATTTATTTTTCCTTCCATTCTACAAGCACTGAGAAACATGAGACAGAAAACTCTTAGCAGGAAGATAGATTAACCAGTGAGTGAGTTGCACTGCATTGTCTGCTTTCAGTTAGGAGGAAAGTGCTTTCTTTGTGTTACACAGATCACTACAAGTGAGGTGGCTGCTTGGAATACTGGATGGCATCTAGTGCTGCCCCAATGTCGCAGTTCTTTGTCTGCAGGAGTCGAGTGAGCCATCCACCCTCATCAGAGAAACCCATGGAGAGCATCTGGGACAGAGACTCAATGAGGCGAGGGTCTGCTTCTGTTAAGAGAGGAATAGTTTAAAGTTGAAGTATTTCATGTAATTGGCAAACCTGCCAAGGCTAATACCACACATTAGCTAGGCTGGCACTAATCCTGGTAAGTCTAGCATAGCTGATTAAAAGCTAGAGACATGCTCCCCTTTGTCTGCTGGGAGGGACATGTTTTGAGATGAGATATATCACCAGCTAAGAAAATAGCCAAGCCAGACTCAGCTGGCCTTGCTGCAGGGCTCTGCGCTGTTGATCTAGGTTAAGTGGCCTTGTACGCTGTTACTGGCTCCAACCAAAATAATGCTGTCTTAAAGCCACATGATGTACTAGTCCACATTCTGCATTAAAAGGCTCTCTTGAAGAGCCCACAGCAAGAATGTGATTTTGGATAACACCTTCTTTCATTTTGCCCAAATGGCATATTAGTCTAAGGTTAGAAATCTTAGTAAGACTCAGCTGCACACATTCAAGAGGAGAACCAGCTGTCTGTCTCTAACAGGGTACAAGAGCTGCCATGCCTGCTAACAAAGTTACAGACAAGTTTAGCTGTACCTTATGTGACCTTGGTTTCTAGCATCTCTAAGAGCAGGTCTGCTTACGTCAGGGAAGTTGGCAGTTCCCAAGTGAAAATGAGTCTCACCATGAAGCCTGTGCACACTCATACCTGGTGGGAGATGTGGGTAGAGTGCAGCTTCCCGCAGTCCTGTAGGTCCTGGCTGGGGAGGATCCCGAGATACATTCAGGGAGCTGGGACCATCCGTCTCTGGCATTTGCAGGGACTGAAGTTCACCTGTGGAAGGATCCACTTCTTTGGAAGATAAATGGGTCCAGTCCTCATCACCCCCTGATGAACTGCTGGACTCACTCTGTTCCTGAAATGGAAAGAAAGAGTCTCCAGATGCTGCAGTGCCTTCCAGGTAGGTTGCATGCTCCTGCTATCTGCCTTTCCACAAGAAGTCCCACCACCTTTGCTGTAAATCTGTAAAGCAAAGGTGCTGTGTATCACTTAATCTGATGGTATCTTAATATTCAATCCCACAATGCATGCTAAATAATGACCTTCCTTTTTAGTAAAGCTTCAGCAAGCAAGTTAGTAAATTAGTGTCAGTTCTTGTACCTGGCATTGGAAGCTGCCATCTTCTGTTTGTGTGGGCACAGGATCTATCACCATGTCTTGTATCTGCTCTGCAACAGCATTTACTTCTGTAGCAGGCTGTGTGTTATTCCAGTCTGGTTTGGTCTGAACGTTCTGGTTAAAAGCACCACTGCTTGACTCAGCATTGCTCTTCTCTTGATTGGGAGAAGCAGGAGTCACTTTGCTTCTCTGTCCTCCATGTTCCACATCAATATCAACTTCAATACCTAGAAGTGCATTTGAGATGGAGAAAGTTTTAGAGAGATTTTTCCGAAGCTTGGTCCTAAATGAGCCTGGATCAGTGCTGGTCTGAACACTCTAAATTTTCTGTTATCATGCAGTTTGCTATGTTACATGTGTGAATTAAAAGTACAAAGCATTCTTTAAACAAGGAATAGTTAAGCACCAAATAGTCATCCTTTATCCTTTAGATAAGCCATATATTTAGAGGGTCAGGGCAGAAGTTATCCATGTCTGCGTGAGCTGAGTCACCACTGACTTAACACTAGTGTTACCGTGGTGACATCTTAATGAAATCTTTCATTTCCTCCCAAGGGGAGGGCTCTGAGAAGGTCCTGAGCGGCTGTTCTAAGCCTAGGCATTATTAGTACCAGGAATAAATTAAGCCTTTGAGGCTTAGTAGGATGAGGTAGTTCTGGTTTCAGTCCCAGGAGCTGCGTGCTGCTGTTAAAAGGACTTTTAAGCCAGTCTCAGGGATTGGGATAACAAACTAAGTCACTTACCCAGGGGGCTCAGAAAAGCTGCCACGCTCTCCCCAACATTCTTTAAGAAGGTGACATTGGGGTCCTGAGGCTGGCTGTTAGTAGAAGCTTCTAGAAAAACAATTTCTGTTAGCACACATAGAAGCTCAGAGGGAAACGAGCACGATCTTGGTGCTCGTTCCCAGTCACTCATATACACTGGCAACAGCAGCATAGAGACAAAAATCCAACTCTGAGCTACCTCTGGGACAGAAAGCCAGTGGCATTAGCATTGTTAAGGCTCATTAACCATGCTGAAAGGCAGATCTGGAGTAGTGACATGCTTGACCTAACAGCTTGGCTTGGTTTGGTTCCAGATACTCTCTTCTATCTGCATCCTCATTGACTGCATGGATCCAAGCATGCCTTAAAATAATCCCATTCTGAAAGGTACTAATTATTTCAAGCAAGTTAGATTAGTTCCTATGTCTATTTTTCCACCCAGATTCTACCCTCCACTGTAGAACCTCAGCTAGTCTGGCTCCACCACCACGCTGCTTACCAGGGCATCTCCTCTTACCTTCCGCAGCGGGTGGACTGGCAGCTGCAGCACTGGCTTGGGCTTGTTCAGAGTTTTGGCATGGAGCAGCAGGGCCAGGGTATCCCCAGCAGTGCATCCATGGGAAGGGGGGAACACCATGCCGCATCTTACGGAGCCAGCGTCCTCGGGGAATCCACTGTAAAGAACAGAGTTCATGTGACTGTTCACACAGCCACATTCTGAGTAACCAAAACTCAGGACTTAAATTTGAGGTAGTTCAGTAGTTCCCCTCCAGATTTCACTCACCTCAAATGGATTCAGCAGCGGACTTTGGAACATCACCATGTTGTGCTCTTTGTGGATGCCTTTACTCTCGCAGGTGCTGCACAGGTCATAGTCTGGGCAGACAGTGCACTTGAACCTGGCACCCACCACCGGCCCCTCGCAGCCATCGCAGATCACGTTGGGGTGCACCATGTCACGGGGGGGCTCCTGGCTGCACTGCGAGCGATGCTCCCGCCTGCACTCCTTTTTCTCTATTAAGGAAAGGAAACTTTGCATCAAGAACAGGTTACTATTTAAAGGTTGGAAATCAGGCAGAGGAGAAGGAAGCACAAACAGTTCGTGTTGGAGCAGTATTGACTTACTAGGTCAGTTTATTTTTACACTGGCTGCCAAACACAAGATGGGGGGGGGCAGCATATAAGAGAACTTCAACCAAGTGCAAAGGGGTTTCACAAAGATACCTGCTCCTCAAACTGAGCATGCCTATCTAAAATAAACATGCCAAGAGACTGTTAGGGATTAGTACTGCACTACTGAGTTTGGCTTCTCATCCTACCTTCCTAAGCTCTACAAGAACAAAATGTTTCAGGAGAGGGCCTCAGGAAGACATGCCAGGAGCAAAAACGGGGACACCAGCCACTGGCTTGTGTGACTCATTAAAGGGACTGCAGATAAAGCTCTGCAGATACCCACGATAACAGAAGGGACTAGGGAGTGTCTAAGCACTCAGTGCACTGGAATTAAGGCTTCTTTATGCATTGTTGTGACTATTAAAGATACCAGGGCCAGGCTGGTGTTTCCACGGAGCC